TATTGAAATATGTGTTTTTAAGCTAAATTTTTTATGTAATTACCAAATAACTTTTAGTTTTTTTTTAATTTTTTTTTTTTAGCTTTAGCTTATAAGTAGCTCTAGGGTGAAAAAGAGAGTATCCAGACATGCTAATAGTCTTACCCAACTACATAAGCTCTTGAGTTGAATTGATTCTTTATAATCTCATGACTTCATGATCAAAATTGGGAATATCCAAATCATTTAAAGGGGCACCAACAAATGAAAAAAAAATTAATACATGGCAAGTAATAGGCAATTTTAAAAATGAAATACAATTGATATTTTATATTTTTTGAAACTTATTCTTCTCAAAGATACTCTAATTATGCTCACACCTGAACGAATTGCTGGTACCCTTCAATCTGAACTAAATAATGTCTTGACACTAGCATATAGTTTGCGTGCTTAGTTTAGCCCAATTTGGTTCCTCCTAAACAAATCATATGACTGCTTCTCATTCGAATCCACCAAATAAAGCACTTTGGTTAAAAGATAAGTGCCTACCAAATAAATCACAATATTTTCCATAACACCCATTTCATAATTATTTTTTCAATAAACTTCCTATTCATTGTTCTTGCAAGCTGATTAGATTTCTATTCATTAGATATGAATATTCTTATCAATACTCCCTCAATTTTTGTGACACTTCACTTGACTTTCTTTATAAATAAAAAGAGTAGGTGGAGGAGGCAAAATTGCATCTCGGGTATGAGTATGTGACATGGTTTTATTTGTAGATCTTCTCCAAAATCAACATCAACAATACCTTTATCCCAAACTAATTGGGGATGAATTTTCTCTAAAATATTAAAAAAATAAAAATAAGAAAGTCTTTCTTCTTTTGCCTCCTGATTTTGAGTTGCTTGATTATCAAAGTCAAAATGTGGACTGACCTCACACTTTCTATTGCTTGGGTTTTACAACTAAGTCACCTTTGAATTTGAATCATAGCCAATCAAGACATGCTTGACAATTCTTGGACGAGATACTAATTAAATAACTGATTTAGCTAGAAAATTTTAAATTTAACTTCTAACGTATTTATGTATTCCATAAGGAAATAGATCCTCTCATGTTTTAATTAACATGACCATGTCATATTGGAGAATTATAACAATATAAAGAAGAATTAATGGTAATGATTTTGTAATTACCTATCACTATATTTTTTTCTCTCTTCTTTTATTATCATTAATCCACCTTTGTATGGTTATGATTCCCTAACATGACATTATTTGCTAATTAGTGTATTGTAGATAGTATCATTTATATGCTAATTATTCAATTAGTTTATAAGTTAATTAGGATGGTTTTTTCACCCTTTTGTCCCTTATTAATTAATTAATAACCATTTTGCCCCTGATTCGAAACTATTTATCAATCTGCCCCTCTTTAATCGACTACCTTGCATTTTTAATCGACTAAATGGCCAAAACAAGAAAAAATGGCTGTTGGGAGATTTAGTGGACTAAATCTCCCTATTTAGTCGACTAAATCTCCCAACAGACAACAAAGGAAAACAAGTCAGTATGATTTTTTAATCGATTAAGTAAGGAGATTTAGTCGATTAAATCTCCCAACAACCATTTAGTCGATTAAAAATGCAAGGTAGTCGATTAAAAATGGGCAGATTGGTAGATAGTTTCAAATCAGGGACAAAATGGTTATTAATTAATTAATGAGGGGTAAAATGGTTAAATAGCCTAATTAGGATTGCTTCTCATTTCATTTTGATGCGAAAAACCCATAGAAAAGTAGCTAACAAAAAGGAAATTTGATAAAAGAGAAACTCTTTGTTCTCAATTATAATTACTAAAATGAAATAATCAACTCCGACGATAAGGGTCTTAAGCACCAATTACAATCAATTCAAAATTCAAAATCCTAAAAATAAGGAAATAATATAAAAATAATTATAGCTAGTTATTAATCAATCCACATTAAAAACATAGCTGAATTAAGGAAATAATAAAAAACAAATAAAAATAAAAATATGCCTAAATTCCAAAATATAGTCACACACATGCACGATTCTAAGTCAATTCTATATGCATCATCCTCCCCCGATAGAAAAATATTCACCATTAAATTTGCTTCATCTTTGTTGATGGTAGCTGAAGGTGGACAGAATCCATGATGCAATATTTTCTTAAAGATATCTAATGCTTCTCCATTATAGAAATTATGCACAATAACAAATTTAACAAAAGTTCGTGATACCACATCAGGCTCAACACAATTACCTGCAATCCTCAACTTGAATATGTCAGAGACAACCAGAGCTGTTTGTTCATCGCTATATGAAAACCGATATATCAAAAGTGTTCCAAGTTACCACACTTGAATCCACATTAATGTTCTTAAAATTATGTTATACCTAACTAAATGAAGAATTTAATGCCTTGTTTTCAAGGCCATGTTGATTGTGCCCAAAAATAACATTATCTAGAGTTATCAAGTCTTTCACAGCTATCCCATTAAATACCATGCATGCATCCTCAATTTTAATACACTTGGAGATTCAATCACTAACATGGTCACAAGCTTTGAGAACATATGAAATCAAGAATATTTTGTTGGGCTTCAACCCTTCGATTATTTGCATCCTATAGAACACGACATGAGCGCATTCTCCATCCTTTAGCTTTCAATCAAAGTATCCTTTAGTTTTTCATCAAAGTCTTTGAAGACTTGATCACTGTCATAGTCTAGCTCTTCATCGGAATCATCAGTAATTGGATCGTTGTCACATCTTGTTGTTCATTGAAATTGTTGACGAACTCGGATAGTGTACCGGTCGTACAAGTAATAAAGTGATAAGAAAAGTTGTCGATCCCACGAGGACTGATGACCAAGCAATAATTTATCTATTCAACTAAAGTTGGATCGATCGTAAAAGGATTTTTTGAGATTATTGTAATTAAATTAAAAACAGAATTTGTAAACTTATTTTTAGTTTTTAATATTTTAGAAGATAAATTCAGAATTAATAAATCTAGAAATTGAGTTTAAGTTTTAATAAAAAGGCGTAGCTAGGATTTAACTTCCCCAATGGTTTCTTAATGAGTTTGCCTATACTTACGATTACATTCAAGATCAAATTATTATCAGCTCTTTCTATGATTGATTAAATCTCAATCCCTTGGTAATCTAATCCTTTATTCTAATCCAAGCCTAATCTCTTAGTACTTTTTCATAAAATAAGCATTAACACAAGAATCTACGGTTATAGAATTCATAAGTCTATCCCTAGATCATACAAATTCCAGCAATCAACCAATCGGAATCGATACACTAACATCCCTATTGTCATGCACGACTCTAATGTTCATTCAAGACTGACCAGATCGTAAATAAGACTAGGAATAAATTGCAAATTGATTGCATTACTTAAATCAAGAATATAAATCATAATCAAAGCAAACAGCATTCTAGAACCCATTGGTTCCATCTCGCCCTAACTACTAAAATAGAACTAGCCTAACATATTCAAGATTACTAAAGAAAGAGATGAACAAAACTAAAATTCATAAAACGAAATATAAAACCCGGTCTCCACGGTGAAGCTTTGACCGTTTCTCCGCTCCTCAGGTCCGGAACAGAGCTTTTCCCTTTCCTAAGCCGCGGCCATCATCAGGTCTGCTGTCCTCCGTCTTCTGAATCCAAGAATTTTTGGAATGAGCCCTAATGTGCATTTTTATAGAAATAAAAATGGGCTTTTTAATTTGGACTAGGCTCGCTGAGGATTAATTTTGATTAATTCTTTATTTTTCTTGATCCTTATCCTTTGTAACTGCATTTATCCTTATTGATTGCAATTTGTTATTTTAGACCTGAAACAAACTGAAAAGAGATTAGAATCTTATTAAGTTGTTGGTATTTTAATATCTTTAGATTTTATTAACTAACACTATATTTTTAATCATATTAATTATTATTTGAACTATATTTGATATTAAAAATATAGTGATTTAGACACTTATCAGAAATCATTATAGATTAGATAATCGCCCCAACTTCGTTCTCCATCGGAGTAAAAAAATATAGGATATTATCACAAAGTGAAGTATTGGGTCGTACTTCCCGATCCCGTTCCTGTTTTAGAATCTCCAGAGGATTGACGTCCCTTCTTCATTGTCAGATGAATCCTCTTATTTCATTCCTTCTTTGGATTGATTTATCAACTTTGTTTGCACAAGTCATTGCTCCAAAACTTAAATTTTCTTGCTCTGTACCTACACAAGTTGTCGCTTCAAATCTTGGATTCATCTTCTGAGCTCTTCATTTTCTATCTCTTGCGGGTCTATCTTAGGCGGTTGTCCATCTTCTTTAGGAATGAATTCACGTCCCCTACCATCACGTCTCTTCCATTCACGACCTCCATGATTATGTTCAGTCTTTGGTTGAAGACAATTTAATATTCTGATACCAAATGATGCCAAAAGCGTATAAAAAAGTGACTAAGCATAAAATTGGGATCTAATAAAAAAGAAACTCTGTTTTCAATTATAATTATCAATTGACAAAATATTCAACCTCTATAGTAAGTGTCTTAAGCACTCTTTTATAGACCAATTACAGATCAATTCAAAACTTAAAATTTTAAAAATAAGGAAAGAATATAAAAATAATTATAGCTTATTACATATCATTTAGCATTAAACATAGCTGAATTAAGGAAATAATAAAAATAAAATTACGTCGATATCCCAAAATAACGTACGCACACATGCATGATTCTAAGCAAATTCACATTTCTCTTCCTTTCTATTTTCTCCTATTTATATTACATTTGAACTAAAATAAAATTTAATTTTTCCCTTCCCATTTTCATTTTCTCAGTTTGTTGTCAAACATAAACATGGGATGACATTGATCATGTCATTGTCCATTTTCTCATTTTTTAAGCAAGTGCTTATTTACTTAATATTTTGACCATGGATCAGCTAACCAGACTTAAGTCATATATGCAGTATGCAGCAGACAATTGAACGATACCGCAGGACAAGGGATAATACTCCAACAGCGTTCAGATCAGATGAACAAAATATGCAGGTTATACCTCTTGTTTTTCTTCCATAATCAATAAGCATTCCTATTCATTATTGTTAGAAATCAAATTTAACTTTGTAACTTTCCACCGCTAGAAGACTGCACCATATGTGGCTGTCATTTGATAATATCAAGTTGATCTTTGCACCGCCAAAAACAGTGACCGAAGCTTTGAGCCAAACATGAAGTCGATGCTCATAATTGTAGCTGTAGTTTTAATATTAAAAAATTATGTTTTGTTGAAAGAGACAAAGTCGGCAATTGTAACTTAAGGCAAGGCGGCATTTAAATCGGTTAAGTAAGTATATATATGTATATACTTCAATCTAATCAACAATATGTATTAGAAAGAAAGAAAAGAGAAGGAAGATAGAAAGAGAGAAAGTGCTGAAGCACTAAGGAAAAGAAACAGAGTGACCGTGCGTGTGTTGTATTTTTCCTTTATCCAAAATTCAAATACAAAGAGATTTCTTCATCTATTATTCTTTTATTTTCTCTAAATTTCCAACAAGTGGTATCAGAGCATACCATTAAATTTCCAATAATTAGTATCTGAGGGAATTGAAATTTTCCCAACAATTGGTATCAGAGCCTCGTTCGATCAAAGAGGCGAATCAGAGCCCTAGATTTGGGAGCTGTGGTAAAAAGAAGTGCTGAAGCACCGTAAAAAAGAAGAGTTTCAAAGCCAGGTTCTGGAAGCCGTGATGGAGATTCCAAAATTTTATGGAAATGAAGATGAAGCTGCAAGATGGTTAATCTGTTTGAAAGAATATTTTCAGGCAGAGAATATCGATGAAGATGAAAAGGTGATGGAAGCTATAAAAAGGCTCAGAAGCAGCGCGTTTCGTTGGTATCAACAGTGGTATCTAAGATGGCTATGGTTCGGTTATGATGCAAGCTGGAAGGACTTTGAGAAAGCGTTCAAAGCAAAATATCTAGTTGAAGTTTATCTTATTGATGATGAGACAGAATCAAGCAATCCAGAATCAAAACTCGATATCCAGAATGAATTGGAGTCAGAAAAATCAGAGACTGAAGAAGAACAACAACAACAACATCAAGAAGAAGCTGAAGCTGAAGCTGATAATATTGATGATATGGAAGAAGATACAGAAGCTGATGAGTGGATGAATAAATCTGCTTTGAAGAAAGAAAATGAAGGAAAAAGAGGAAGAGCAGGCGGCAGCGAGCATAGTGGTGATCCTGACAACGTCAATGATGATGATGAGGAACGTGAGGAAGAAGAGGATATGAGAACAGAGTACTTTGTTTGTTATTTAGACACTGTTGAGGAAGAGAAAGCATCTAGTGATTTTGAAAATAAAGTGAAGCCAAGGAGCAGTAGCAACAAGTCAAGGGGAGTACCAACAAAGAAGACAAACAAAAGAGAAATAATTCTAGTAAAAGAAAAACAAACTCTCATGGATGTGCCAGAAAAGCAAAAGAAAGAAGATATTGTGGAGAATGAGCAAAGTGAAAAACCAAGGATTATTTGGTCAAATTTAGTAAAGATTATGCATGTATCGGAGACGTCACAAACACCAACAAAGATTGTTTATCTTCCACCATTCCTGAAGCCACCAGATAAATGTGTTACACAAAATATGATTGGCATGCAAAGTTAAATTTGAGGGGGAGTGTTAGAAATCAAATTTAACTTTGTAATTTTGTTCTACCGCCATACTAGAAGAATGAAGAACACTCACCACCAAATTAGAATCATGTGAAAGTCTCTATTGAGTTGTCAACCAAATGGATAAAGAATATAGAGTCGGCAATTGGAACTCAAGGCTAAGAAGAAAGGAGAAGATTGTAGAAACCAAAAGCTGCTGAGTTGGTTAAATAAAATAATGTATCATATGTTGGAATAAAGTGGTTAAACTTGCGGCTGTCAGAGGAAGACAAATTCAAGATGAATTGGATAGTTGGCCATTTGAATATTATATTATAGTTTTAGAGAAGACAAGTCGGTGCTCAAACTATATATATATGTGTGTAGAAAGGCAGCAACACTTAAAAAGAAAGAGTGAAGGAAAGAAAGTGCCGCAGCACTTGAGAAAAAAAATAGAAAGAGAGAGTTCTATTAGTGTGTGAGAAAATAGTATTGAAATACTGTTAGAGAGAAGAAGAGAGAGTTTGAGAAAGAGTTATGTTGAGAGAAAAATTAGTCACAGTGTTATTACACTTGTGTTTTGTATTGTGTTTTGTTTCTATATAAAAGTTTGATACTATTCTACTTGTTCTGTTTATTATTCCATCTCCAACAAGTGGTATCAGAATATACCATTAAATTTCCAATAATTAGTATCTGAGGGAATTGAAAAGTGGAAGAAAGCCATGAATGATGAAATTGCTGCAATCAAAAGAAATGACACGTGGGAGCTTACAACTACGCCTAAGAAACATAAGCCCATCGGAGTAAAGTGGGTGTACAAGACAAAGACTAATCAAGAGGGAAAAGTGGAGAAATACAAGGCAAGATTGGTAGCTAAAGGCTACAATCAGAAATATGGAATAGATTATGATGAGGTGTTTGCACCAGTTGCAAGGATTGATACCATCAGACTTCTTACAGCAGTTGCAGCACAAAAGCAATGGAAGATATACCAGATGGATGTGAAATCAGCCTTCCTCAATGGTTACCTAGAAGAAGAAGTCTATATCGAGCAACCACCAGGTTATGTTAAAAAAGGAGAAGAAGATAAAGTTTATCGGCTGAAAAAGGCGCTATATGGATTGAAGCAAGCTCCAAGAGCATGGAACACAAGGATAAATGAATACTTTCATAAGAATGGATTTGTGAAGAGTCTGTATGAACATGCTTTGTACACGAAGAAAAATGAAGATGGGGATATGATGATCGTGTGTCTTTATGTGGATGATATAATCTTCACAGGGAATAATCCAAGTATGTTTGTTGAATTTAAGAAAGCTATGACTAAAGAATTTGAAATGACAGATATTGGAGAAATGTCCTATTTTCTTGGAGTTGAAGTAAAACAAACAGAAAAGGGAATTTATATGCTACAAAAGAAGTATGCAGAAGAAATACTGAGTAGGTTCAGAATGAAAGATTGCAAGCCTATTTCAACACCAATAGAAACAGGAACAAAGTTGAAAGCTGACTCAGATAGAGAACCAGTAAACCCAACACTATTCAAAAGCCTGGTCGGAAGCTTGAGGTATTTGACTTTCACTCGACCAGATATCATGTTTGCAGTTGGTCTAATTAGCAGATATATGGAGAATCCAAAGCAGGATCATTTCAGTGCAACAAAGAGAATTTTAAGATATATCAAAGGAACCATCAGTCATGGATTATTCTATACACATTCCCAAGATTAAAGGTTAATTGGCTATGCAGATAGTGATTATAGTGGAGATGTAGATGATCGAAAAAGCACTTCAGGATATGCTTTTCATATTGGCTCAGCAATATTTTCATGGTCATCAAAGAAACAACAGACAGTTGCTCTATCATTATGCGAAGCTGAATACATAGCCGCATCAGCGTGCACGTGTCAAGCGATTTGGTTAGAGAATATTTTGAATGAATTTCATTATGAGCAAGAAGGTCCAATTACTATATACGTAGATAACAAGTCTGCTATATCACTTGCAAGAATCCAGTTTCCCACAGCCGAAGCAAGCATATTGACACGAAATATCATTTTATTCGGGAGCAAGTTAAAAACAAAGTTGTGGAATTAGTCTACTGCAGAACTGAAGAACAATTGGCAGATATTTTTACGAAGCCATTGAAAACCGATGTGTTCAACAAACTCAAACATATGATTGGTATGCAAAGTCAAATTTGAGGGGGAGTGTTAGAAATCAAATTTAACTTTGTAACTTTCCACCGCTAGAAGACTGCACCATATGTGTCTGTCCTTTGATAATATCAAGTTGATCTTTGCACCGCCAAAAACAGTGACCGAAGCTTTGAGCCAAACATGAAGTCGGTGCTTATAATTGTAGCTGTAGTTTTAATATTAAAAAATTATGTTTTTGTTGAAAAAGACAAAGTCGGCAATTGTAACTTAAGGCAAGGCGGCATTTAAATCGGTTAAGTAAGTATATATATATATATATATATATACTTCAATGTAATCAACAATATGTATTAGAAAGAAAGAAAAGAGAAGGAAGATAGAAAGAGAGAAAGTGCTGAAGCACTAAGGAAAAGAAACAGAGTGACCGTGCGTGTGTTGTATTTTTTCTTTATCCAAAATTCAAATACAAAGAGATTTCTTCATCTATTATTCTTTTATTTTCTCTAAATTTCCAACAATTATCTAGTATTTAGATATATTGTTATATGATTGTACTCATGCTGATGAAAAAACATATGCTTTTTATTTTTGCTCGTGTATATATATATATGGGGTTTTAGTTTGTCCTTTAACATGACCAGAAAAACTTTTCTACACACATTTTGTGGGGTCCACACTTTTTAAAGCAAAAAAAAAAATTATGACACGCAAAATGAATCTCTATAACATTACACAATCACTTTTCCTACAACATAACTCTTTTAAAATCCTATATATATATATATATATATATATATATATTTTCTGGTTGCTTGTTTTCATGTAAGACAAAAATGCATGAGCCTTTTTAGTGTTCCTTTCATGAACAAACTAAATACTTGTTCTTCTTTTCGTTAATTGATTTTTTTTACTAACTTTGGCATTGCTTTACAAATAATATTATTTAGCTTGCCAATTATTCAACAATGGGTAACTCAGTCTATACTATATAGCCCATTCCTCTTTATATATATATATATATATATATATATATATATATATATATATATATATATGGGTTCGCTTTTTTTACCGTCAATGTAGATAACTTATCTATAGTGAGCCCAAAATGACGTCATTTTGAGGCGGAAATCAAGGTATTTTTGTAATTATAATTATTTCAGGGTTATAATAGTCTTTTTCATTATAATTTTTCAACCCAAAACGACGTCGTTTTGGGAGCGAATGTAGATAACTTATCTACATTCACTTTAGAAATATTAAAGCCTATATATATATATACAAACTTTTTGTTCATAGACTCTATCAAAAATTTGTAAACGGATCCTTTATATATATATATATATATATATATATATATATATATATATATAGGAGTAGGATCCTTTGACACCGGTGTTAAATTTAAAGTTTGACACCTCATCTGAGAGCCGTTAGATCAAAAAAGATTAATGGTGGCACATGCTTACAAATCAGAGTCGTTGATCTTTTTTGATCTAACGGCTCTTAGATGAGGTGTCAAAGGATCCTATATTTTGTATATATATATATGAGATATGATCCTTTGACACTGGTGTCAAACTTTGAAATTTGACACCAAATCCTATTCGTTGATTTCCGACAATCAACGGTTATCTTTTATTGGGAATTAATATTTATTAATAAGTTTGATTCCCAATAAACGATAACCGTTGATTGACGAAAATCGACGGATAAGATTTGGTGTCAAATTTCAAAATTTGACACCGGTGTTAAAGGATCTTGTCCATATATATATATATATATCCTGGGGTGGGGTTGTTAGGCAGCTACGTGTTGATGACATAAGAAGGTAAAAAATAGGTGTTCCTTTTACCTAATTAAGTGCAATATTTAATGTTTTAGCAAAAATAAAGATGAAAAATCAACTATCATTGGTTCAAGTGACAATGATTTTGTTTTCCATACCCAATGATTTCGAATTCAAGCCCTCAGAATAGAGAAAACAATATTGGGAAAGTTGCTCCCTATTATAGAACTGATATTACTCAAACCGAATTAGTCGGGTAATTGAACTGGTGATATATCCAAAAATAAAGATGCAAAAGAATCATGGTAATTTGCTGATTTCTCAATTTTCCTTGTGTATGTAGTTGAAGCTTAGTGAGCTCATTTTAAGGGTGTTTCTTTCTCAATTGTGGTATTATTTGCATCATTTGATGGTTTTTTTTGCCAAACATGTTTACGAGGACTAAGTGCAAGATGTACAGGTGAAGAAGAACTATGTAGCATATGTCATGATAACCAATTAGCACATTAATTAGTTAAAAGGATTTGCAGAAATACTTATCTGTAGAAATCATAATACCTTAAATGCTCTCACTCTTGAAACAGTGCATTTTTGTAAGAATAGGCAGAGAATTTTTTTTTTTTTTGGGTGGTGGGGGGGGGAGGAGGAATTTACTTATATTACAATACACCTACCTTCATTTATAGAGGAATTGGATATCATAAGTTACAAAGTTAGAAGGTCACAATTCACACGACTTAGTTAATTTCATAAAGTCTATAACCTAAATTCATGCCTTGCATTTCTAGATTAATGTGTTTTTTTTTTTTTCAAAAGCGATTAATGTTTTTTTAGGTCAGTGCAAGTAGTAGCAGACTTTAACAATTCCATCTTCATTTATCCGTGTAAATATATACATATTGTTATTAGAAATATAAAACCATTAATATAACCCCATACAACAGTTTAAGCTTTTGATTTGAAAGAATTCTTTATATGGTATCAGAGTGAACATGACTAAGTAGTCATGAATTCGATTCTCACTGCTCCCATTCTATTAATAAAAATAATTGAATATTGTAGAGTTTTTTTTAGTACAGATAGGCTGAGCTTAATGCACCTTGAATCATTAATGTAATATCACCCAACAGCTTAAGCTTTTGGGTTGAAATGATTATTTGCCATTGATTTGAGTTGGAATTGGTTAATTGGAGTTCCGTTAAATTTCTACCTTTTTAAATTTGCTTATCATAGACACTTGTTCAAGTTAGAATTCTGAAGTTTGAGTGAAATTGCCTAATATATTACAGCATTTGAAGGAAGAAGCAGCAAGCATGATGAAGAACATTGACCTCCTTGAAGCTTCAAAACGGTTAAAGATCTTCTTGAATTTCTATTCATGTTGACAAATTCTTCACATTCATTATTTAACTTCACTCACGCATCACGGTGAAAGAATATGTTGCATTTGTAATTTCATTCCCCCAGGAAACTCATGGGAGAAGATTTGGGGTCTTGCTCCATTGAAGAACTGCAACAGATAGAACAACAGTTGGAGAGGAGTGTAAGCAATGTTCGAGCAAGAAAGGTTAGCGTGATCAACAAGCCTATAGAATTTTTACTTTTAAAATTTCAATGTCTATTGATATTTGAAACTCAACTTTCTATTCTCCAGACTCAGATTTTCATGGAACAAATTGAGCAACTAAAAGAAAGGGTAAGCTGTCTATATAATTGCATGAATGTGATATTGCGTTACTTACTTATATATCATTCTGAGTTCGTGATACGTGCCCAGGAAAAAAAAATGCATCAAAGTTCATTTCCTTCTTCATGAGTTCTGAACATTGAAAAAATTTCTAGCTAGCATAAAGTCAAAAAGATTCTGACTAATGTGTTTCTAATACAAATCAGGAAAATGCCCTAGTTGCTGAAAATTCCAGGCTTTCTGAGAAGGTGAAGTTACTGATTTCTTGAATTTATTTGTGCCTTATAGCTCATTTTATTTGCTACATATTTTAATCTTCCTAATGGAAATCTTGAACTTCAACTTTTGGTCTCAAACTTGGAGCTATCTCCCTTAGTTTGCAGATATTTGTTGGATACTTGTTTTTACAAATCGTTCGGTTAGAATGAAAAATTAAAACGAAATTCTCATCAGCATGGTAACTTTCCACAGCCAGAACCAAAGGATCAGAGAGAAAATCAACCTCAACCCTTTGCAGAAAGTAGTCCAAGTTCAGATGTGGAGACTGAATTGTTCATTGGACTTCCAGATACAAGAACAAGGTGTGGTGCATCTTTCCTCAGGTCTAGTTGAAGATTATTAAATCCCTCACTATGCAAAATAAAATAAGGGTAAGCCCAATTGTCTCATCAATGTATATCAGATATGTTTCCTGTTGCTCTCAGTCAGATAAATAATAATGGTGATTGTGAGAGTGATTTGTTAGTTATTATCATCAAATCCATGGTCTAAATGGCAAGTTGTATAGATATTCATATATCAGACTCAGAAGTCAACACTTTACTTCAGTTGTATGATTGATGCAATCGTTTTAGGGTTTTAAATGCATGACTTTCCAGACTCCTGAGCTTTCTTAGTTATGGTAGAAATTTTTGTAAGGTATGCGTAGTAAAATTATCAGCATAGATGTTACACCAGGAGAAAGAAATTTAATTTTAAGTTGATTATAGATTAATTAAGATTTTTTCCCCTTACCTTGGAATGAATTTGTATCTCACTCACTTTTTTCCCCCTCACATGAAATTTTCACATGCTGGAAAATCCAAAAAACTAGTTATTTCTAACACTCCTTAATTTTGAATTTCTTCTTGAGTGTCTTGAGTTCAAACTCAGAATTTGCTCATATTATTAGTCTTAAAATATGGAAAGTTTTGTGAAAATATGTCCAACAGCTTGATCTTCGAGTCTTCAAAATACTTCAACTAACTTCATTCTTGGCAAAGTCTTGCTTTGTATTTTCCACCTGTCCTTAAGCATTCTTCTTTGCTTTGAATATACATTTGACTCCAATACTTTCATGATGCTTATGAAGAAATTATAATTCGCAAGTGTTTATCTTGTCAATGGCTTTGTTCTCTCCTTCCATGGCTTGTCTTCATCTTGTCTTTCACAACTTCATCAATAATAAAAGATTCACTATTATTTATAGGCTTTGTTGTAAATAGTAGTGTAGAAGTCTCGGTCTCTTTTGTAATTTCTCTTCTTTCAGTTATATAATAGAATCTTCGTTGTATAGTTGAAACACATGGATTGCTCACAAATCTCTTGGATCCTGATATTCAACATGGTATCAGATCTTCGGCGTCACGAATTTGATCCTCACCGCCCCCTATTTAATTAATAATTAATTTAGTCTTGTGAAATTTCTTAGTACAGGTAGGTTAGGCCTGATGCATCAACCACTCTTCAAGCCCAATGGGCTCTCATATGAAGCAGAATGTAAGAGAAATTTAAAGTCACTAATGTAGCCTCACCCAACAGCTTAAGCTGTTGGGCTGAATTAGTTTTTTTACATGGTATATAGAGCCTAAGGAGAGAAATTCTAATCCGCGTCTTTCTGGTGGACCCATTGTTCCCCGAGTAAAATTCTTCCCTGGAAACTGTCACGGTCGTCAATTTCTGGCATTACTGTCATCGTCGTCCGTCACTGGAAAAAATTTCTCGCCAACTGTTTTAACCAAAAATTATGTCAACGGACTCAGAAGGAGCCGATCTACCCAACGCTGGAAGCCCCATCGTCATAGGAGGCTCCATGTGCTCTTACGCGCTACCTCTTTCTCTGCGCGTGGTTGCCACACGCCACCTTCCTTCGGCGCATGCGGCATTTTCCGGGGGCCGTTCGCTGTCGACCAAGGATGACAAGGTCGCCCAGCCGTCCTCTATCCAGTCTTACCTTCAGTTCGCTCAACCGACATCATTTGGATGGTGAGTGTGTGATCTCGCGCTCTTCGCGGTTTGCGTCCCTGGTCACGATTTGATTCACCACAAGTCTTGCCCCAGTAAGGGTTGTGATACGTCCCTGCTCTCGTTCCTGCTCAAGTCCTGTTCGTCGGTGCCACCGTCGCCTCTGTTCCAGCATCTGTTTTGTGGGTGCCACCATTATCGTCGTTTCACATTTGTGTTTGTGCCATCATCGTTACTGGTTCAATTCCGGTCGTTAGCCACTATCGTAGCATCAGCCCTTTGTTGCACATGCCACCACCATTGCCGGTCAGATCTGTACACGCTTAGCACCGCCAATTGATCTTGTTGCTTTGTGACACTGAGGTTCCTTGTTACTTTGGTTTTTTGCTTATTGTACTGGTGTTTTATTCTATTTTTGGAAACATGGATGATTCTAGCTCGTTTCCTCAATTTGTTTCTCGGCTTACTATCCCCGGTTCCACGGCTACTGTTGTGCATAAGGTTAATACCTTTGTTGTTTCACTCAAAATTGATTCTTTGGTCATTGGGTTCTTGATTCTGGTGCCTCTGATCATATTTAAGGTAATAAGTTTTTGTTTTCCTCTCTTTCTACCCCTGGTTATTTGCCTGTTGTTACTATGGCTAATGGTTCCCAAATTCAGTCTCGTGGGATTGGAACAGTATATCTTTTTCCCTCTCATACTATTGATGATATGCTTTATGTCCCTGGTTCACCCTTTAATCTCAGTTCTATTATTCATTTAATACATTCTCTTGATTGTCTCATCTCTTTTACCAAAAATTCTGTTGTTTTACAAGACCGGAGTTCAGGGAGGACAATTAGCGGCGGATTTGAGTCCAATGGCCTTTACATTTTCTCCAGCTCCTCTCATGCTCATTTTTTATTAGATTCTCCACTCACTGTTCACGCTCAGTTGGGTCATTCTAGTCTTACAAAGCTTCAAAAGATGGTGCCACATCTGTCCAAATTGACCACTTTGCAGTGTGAATCATGTCAATTCAGGAAACATACTTGCAGTTCTTTTCCTGATAAAGTCAGTCGTCGTGCCTCATCTCCTTTTAGTTTGGTTCACTCATATGTTCGGGGCCTAGTCGTACTCAGTCAACTTTGGGGTATAGATATTTTTTCACCTTTATTGATGATTATTCTATGAACACCTGGTTATTTTTACTGAAAATCCACTAGGAGTTATTTTTCGTATTTCAGCAGTTTTATCATGAAATTCTTACTCAATTTGGGGTTCCTATCCGCACTTTCCATTGAGATAATGCTCGTGAGTATCGATCTCAACCATTTAAATCATTTTTGGCCTCTCACGACATTCTTCACTAAACCTCATGTGCGCACCCCCCCCCCCCCCCACCAACAAAATAGGCATGTTGAAAGGAAAAATCGTCATCTTATTGAAATAGCTCAGACACTCTTAACTCATGGGAATGTACCTACCAATTTTCAGGTGATGTTGTCTTCATCACATGCTATCTCATTAATCGCATGCCCTCCTCTGTCCTTGATAACCATGTACCGTACTCTATCTTGTTTTCCCATCAACCTTTACTTTCCTTACCCCTTCGTATTTTTTGTTCTACTCTTTTTGTCCATGAACTCGGCCCCAATCGTGACAAGTTTTCTGCTAAGTCCCACAAATGTGTGTTCCTCGGTTACACTAGGACACAAAAAGGTTATCGGTGTTACTCTCCCAGTCTCTGTGGCTCTCGTCTCGGGGGATGTTACCTTCTTTGAGTCTGTGCCATTTTTTGGCTCCACCTCCATTCCTGGTGACTCTGTTGATACTCATTCATCTTTACCCTCTATTCCAATTCAATATGTCCCTACACCAGATCCCCCTCCACCATCGCCTACGATCACTTCGCCATATGTCTTAAAACTAGATTTCACTTTCCAGGTTTATCACCATCGGCGACGTCCACTCATGCCCCAAGACATTGGCTCTATTATTAATGAGGTTCTTGTGGACTCTGTTCTCCATCATCAACTCCCGCGGCTTCGGTCCCGCCCTCCGACATTATTCTACCCATTGCTCTCTGGAAAGGTACTTGTGAATCTCGTCCTCCACTCAGGTATTTGATAAATGAGTTATCATCGCCTTTCTCCAACACATTTTGCTTGTCTCTCTTCTTTGTCTTCGTGTCTATTCTTAAGACTATAGGTGAGGCGTCATCCCATTTTGGATGGCGACAGGCTATGATTGATGAGATGTGTGCACTCTACAGTAGCAGTACTTGGGATTTGGTTCATCTTCCTTTTGAAAAATCTGTTGTTGGATGCATATGGATATATACTATCAAGGTTGATCTTAATGGACAGGTGGATCATCTCAAAGCACGTCTGGTTGCCAAGGGATACACATAGGTGATTGGTGAGGATTATAGCAATACTTTTTCCCCTGTGACGAAAATGGCATTTGTTTGCCTCTTTCTTACTATAGCTATTATCTTTCACTGGCCCCTCCATTAATTGGATATCAAAAATACTTTCCTCCGTGGTGATCTCGTGGAAGAAATTTATATGAAGCAACCTTCTAGGTTTGTTGCTCAGGGAGTCCGATCTAGTTTGTCGACTCCGTAAATCTTTGAATGGTCTCAAGTAGTCTCCACGAGATTGGTTTGGGAGGTTTAGCACTATTGTTCAGTAGTTCAGTATGACTTGGAGTGAGGCTGATTGCTCAGTTTTTTAACGCCACTCAGACCCCAGATCCATTTATTTGGTGGTATATGTTGATGACATTGTCATTACAGGTAATGACCATCGAAGAATTACTCAGGTAAAATAACATCCTTGTCATCATTTTCGGATGAAGGATCTCAAAAGACTTAAATATTTCTTGGTAATTGAAGTGTCTCAATCCAAGGGTGGTATTGTGATATCGCAGAGGAAATATGCTTTGGATATTCTTGAGGAGACAACTCTATTAAATGCTAAGCTCGTCGATACTCCTATGGATCCAAAAGTCAAGCTTCTGCCAAATCAAGGGGAGCTATTTTTCAGATCCAAAAAGGTATAGAAGATTAGTTGGGAAGTTGCACTATCTCACAATTACTCAACCAGACATTTAGTTTGCAGTCAATGTAGTATGTCAATTCTTGAATTCTCCTTGTGGAGATCATTGGAATGCAGTGATTCATATTCTCAAGTACATCAAGACTGCTCCAGGTAAAGGTCTCCTTTATGAAAACAAAGGTCATACCAAAGTTGTGGGATACTCAGATGCTGATTGGGCAGGTCTCCCCATTGATAAAAGATCCACCTTTGGGTATTGTGTATTCATTGGGGGTAATTTGGTTTCCTGGAAAAGTAAGAAGCAGAGTGTAGTTTCCCGATCAAAAGTTAAAGCAAAATATTGCTCTATGGCCATAGCCACCTGTGAACTCATCTGATTAAAACAACTACTAAAGGAACTTAAGTTTGGAAACATTGACCCAGCATCTCTTATTTGCGATAACCAAGCTGCTTTGCGTATTGCCTCCAATCCAATGTTTCATAAAAGGATCAAGCACATTGAGATAAACTATCATTTTGTGAAGGAGAGAGTCCTCTCAGGAGATATATGTTGAAAATCGATAATTGTACAACACACAAATCGAAAACGAAAAGAGAAAGGGAGAGAGAAAATTGACATAGTAATTTTCCTTGTTCACCCAATGTAAGCTACGCCTAGCTTGTCTGTACTATATTCACCTCATTGTCACTCGTTATAAGTTGTCAAGCGGGTCTAGGGGAAGCCTGTGGCAGGGACCACCACTAATGAGCTAAGTGGATCAAAAACACCAAGTGGGTCCGACACCATATCTCAACCCAAAACCTTAAGGCATTGGGTTAATGGGTCCATCCACTTATATTCACTTCACTTAGCCCATTACCAACCAATGTGGAATTCTTCACACTTGAATATCATAACAATCTCCTCCTCAAATGTGAAACCCAACATTGGTATGCTCCCCCCTCAACTGAGTACCCCTAGGGCTCAAGTACTCAACCCGCCTCCTAGCCAATCACCTTGCTAGTTTGAGCCCAATCAGACTCTGATACCACTGTCAGGAGAGTCTATGAGAAGCCCGTGGCAGGGGACCACCACTAATGATCTAAGTGGATCAAATACACCAAATGGGTCCGATACCATATCTCAACCCAAAATCTTAAGGCATTGGGTTAATGGGTCCATCCACTTATATTCACTTCACTTAGCCCATTACCAACTAATGTGGGACTCATCACACTTGAATATCCTAACACAAGTAACTCGATTACAAGGGAATATAAATAGGATTTAGAAAACCTTGATAACATCTATTTATGGGCTTAAGCCCAAACTACTAAGTAAAAGAAAATTTCAATAAGTCAGAGGTCCACAACAGTACCAGGCCTATACGAAGTATGCGAAGTATGAGTCATACCCAGCAATATAGTCACTAATTTTGTTAATTCAAATGATCCATTAGTTGATGTATTCACTAAGTCTTTGAAATGACCTAGAATAGATTACATATGTAACAAGTTTAGTGCATATAATCTATATGCTCCAACTTGAGGGGGAGTATTGTAAATAGTAGTTTAGAAGTCCCACATTATGTAGGTCTCTTTGTAATTTCTCTTCTGTCAGTTATATAATAGAATATCTGTTGTGTAGTTGAAACGCACAATTACTTGTAAATCTCTCAGATCCTCATATTGAACAAGTTTCGTCTCATCATTTATGTATGCAAAACTCCAAAAATTGTTGGGTCATGACTATTGTCTGATAACATGTGGGGGAGTACCTATATGCAAATCCTATTATAGACAACTGAAATTGAAAATAACAATTCTGTTACCTTGTAGATATTATTGTGTGCAGACACTCATGATTCCACTCACAAAGGAATCATCTGCTCCAGTTGCTTCCCCCTAAAAACCTGAAACCCTCCCGTTAAATTCCTGTGAGACAAGGAGGACATCTAAGGGATTAACCATAACCAACCCATTTTGGATAAAGCAAAGAGAAGAGGGAAAAGAAAACAACCAGTTAACCCTCCATACTCCATAGTCCAATCTATGTATCAAAGACAGAATGTTTACACTACACTATTCATTTATTAAGACAAGATTGCGCTAGTAAGAGAGAAATAGTACTGTGGGATTTTGTTCATGGATGAAATCTTAGAGTCATATTTACAACCCTCTGCTGCACATGTCATGAAGCAGCCAGGGTTCCATCAAGCCTGTGAAGTAGCCTTTGCTGAGTGTGGTGGTGCAGTAAAGGCCTACATTGTTGAACAAGAAGTATTATGATCTTTCATACCTCTGCTTGCCTTAACTATATGTTTGGTAAACCTTAACTTTTTCTTTTTCTTTTCCAATTCCCTTTAAAATCAGTTACGAGATTTCATCCAACCTGCTATTTCCAGCTGGGAGGAGGATGAGGTAACTCTCCTTTTCTTCTCTCGTGTGTTTCTGTCACTAGACTGATGTTAACTTGTTACTTGTAGGTTCATGAGCTTTTTGTTCTATTTGATAACAATAATGATGGAAAAATTGACAAGGGTGACTTTCTTTCTTGCCTTAGAAGAAATCCTCTTCTCATAGCTTTATTTAAACCTCAACCGCAATACAAGGAGTCTGTTGGTAATGGAGTGCTAGAGAGTGTGATGGGTTGATTTTACAAAGCCATATTTCAGTTAATCTGATCCAACGCTAGTTTTGGTTCAGAGACCATATTGGCATTTAGGGTCAGTGGGGTTCATGTAAGGTTTGAACCAACTTGTGAATCTTTCGTTAGTAACAAACATCATGAGTGTGTTTTCAAAGATGGGGGAACATGACTAAAGTAATTAATTGAATTTGGATTTTTGAGAAGATGGAATCTCATGAAGGAATGATTTGCAGTTTTAGAAAGCATAATGTTTTCATATATTAATTCTTTTGTTCGAGTTCTTAGAATTGTCAGATTAAGAATTTATGGTAAATGCGATTGTATGCTACTAAACTAACGGAATGTTCAGATTATGCTTTCAACAGTTGAACAGTTTGATTCTCTCATGTCTTGTTTGACTGTCATAGTTTCTTTTCATAGTTTTAATGAATAAGTTTTGTAAAATGAAAAAATAGAAATTATTATCTTAATTGATGATTGTTATTTTGTGACAATGATTGAGATTTTTCACATGAAAGCAAGATATAAAATGATTCATTGCTCTTCCTACACCCTTCAATTGTTATTTTATACTACTAACTTAATTACTAAGGCATTTATTTGCTTAGTAAGATGGGTGACTGGAGGCATTGGGCCAAGATGTAAAACCAAAGCCTTCAGCTCAATAAAAACAAAAAAGCGTTTTTTTTTCTCTTTCTATATGTTGTTTTTAAAAAAATAAAATAAAACAAAACAAAATTTGTTACACATTAGTATTTGGATGTCTACCTTTTAAAACACAAAAAAATAAGTTAAAATTTTGCTTTTTCTTTGAAGCTAATTTTTTTTTCTTTTAAAAAGTATTAAAAAATTCAAATATTTTTTTAAAATGTAAATTTATTTTAATCCCAACCAATCTTATCCTCTCATTGTCATCATTATCATCACGGCAATGTTGCCATAATTGCTACAAGAAAATATTTAGTGATCCAGGCATATGTGTGCCGGAAAGAAAAAAGAGGAAGTGTGTATTTATTGAGCATTGTCATCTTTATTACTGTGTGTGGCACATTGTCATCTTTATTATTGTCACTACCACCATCACGGGCATTGCCACTACCACATCGCTGCCACCTCCATCAGTGTTATTACTACCTTGTCACCACCCATATCACCGCTATTATTGCCACCACTATCACCATATCTCCACCACCTAATTTGCCACAACTAATGGCTCCACCACCATCAAATTTGCTCATATAATTTGTTTTCACATGTCCTTTTTAGTAATTCTTATGTAAAAAGTGTTTTTAATTTTAACATCAAAATAATATAAGAGAAAAGTGTGTATCATTTTAAAATATGTAAAGTTTGTCATTTTAAGTGAGAGAAAGAGATAGATAAAGAGTGAGAGAGAGTGGGAAAAAAATAAAGGTATAGATCTCACCTCTTTGTGAAAGTGAAATGACACAAGTTATGTCATTTAAAATGACAAATACTTTCCCATGATATAGACTATATTTGGATATAGTTGAAGTTTCATCGAATTACTTTGACAATTTAATCATATATAGTTTTCGAGCCCATTCTTTGATTGATGCTTAAGTAGTATATGCATATTTAGCACAAATTTCTGCTTGTGAACCAATAGTACGATTGTTACGATTTCGGCAAGTGCACCGGTCGTACAAGTAATAAAGTGATAAGAAAAGTTGTCGATCTCACGAGGACTGATGACCAAGCAATAATTTATCTATTTAACTAAAGTCGGATCGATCGTGAAAGGAGTTTCTTGAGAATATTGTAATTAAATCAAAAACAAAATTTTGAAACTTATTTTTAATTTTCAATATTATAGAAAATAAATTCATAATTAATTAAAGCTAGATATTGGGTTTACGTTTTTAATAAAAAAGACGTAGCTAGGATTTAACTTCCCCAATGGTTTCTTAACGAGTCTGTCTATTCTTACGATTACATTCAAGATCAAATTATTAACAGTTCTTTCTATGATTGATTAAATCTCAATCTCTTGGTAATCTAATATTTACTCTAATCAAAAGTCTAATCCCTTAATATTTTTTCATAAAATAAGCATTAATACAAGAACTTACGGTTATAGAATTCACAAGTTTATCCATAGAACAAATAAATTCTAGCAATCAACCAATCGGAATTGATACACCAACATACCTATTGTCATGCAAAACTTTTATGTTTATCTACGAGTGATCAGTTCATAAATAAAGCTAATCATAAATAATAGATTGATTGCATAATTTAAAAGCAAGAATGTAATTCATAAGAAAGGCATCCATCAATTAAGAACTTATATTCTGTCTCATCCTAACTACTAAAAAAAATTTAGCTGTGCATAATTATAAAAACAAAATTAAAAGATACTGGAAAGTAAATAAAGTTCATGATGAAACTTGGTTAATGAAAATGATCAATGATGCAGATTGCTTTCTTCCTTCCCCTCTGCCAGTGTTCCTCTTTCGCCACGACTTTCATTTCGTCTTTGAGTTCCTTCTTTCTTCGCGTTTCTGAATACCCAAAGCCTTCGTCGCGTTTGTATTTAAATAATTAAAATGGGCTTTAATTTCTGGGTCGGCTCGTTGAGAGCTCAGCGAACAATTTTTTTCCTCCTCGCTCACTTGCTCGCTAAAGCAAGCAGTGGAGCGAGCTTGACCGAATATTTTAATTTATTTAATTTCGTATTTTTCTTGTTATTCAACTCACCCTGTATGTAGCTGAGGTTATGGTAGAAGGCCCTCAGCATAACCTCTGAATACAGATATAGCATCTCAGCCAACACCCTCATATGTGCTGCCTCCAACACCGCCATAATCTGAAATCCCTCTGTCATAAAAAATGTCGTATCCAATTATTTTGGTGCACATAAGGGTCTGTTCACGTGGTCACGTAGAAATGCAGCGTGCACCGACTGGTCATCCTCAAATAGGTACCCAAATGGGAGTTCGACGGGCTCAGGCTCAGCTGTCTAGTGGCCTTGAAGAAGAAGGTCGGTCTTGTCGTTGCTTGATCTTCTGTGGCTCGCCATTGCAACAGAAACCCTACAATAACAAAATAATGTACCAATAACCAATAAAACAAAATAATAATAATAAAAAAAATCAAAAACATGCATAATTCGTCCAAAAATAATAAAAATTAAAAAATCATGAAAAAATCCTAAATCCATCAAAACACATAACTACACAACCATGAAAACATAAAATGGCATTATATATCCTGCCAAACGAACAAACCCCCTACCCAATCAGTCCACACTTCTTAAATCCGAAAAATAACAAACAAAATGTTGCAAAACGAAGCAAATTTATCGTGGAGGATGAAGAAACTAGTAGGAGACCTTGTCTTCTCAATCCACACGCTTGGACGAAGATTTGCAGAGCTGGATTCGAAATTGGGGTTTTTATCTCCTCTCAAATCGATTAGGGTTTGAAAATAACCCCCTTTGCCGCGTTTTAATTGATTAACTAAATGAGTTAATCGATTAATATCCCGAGTTTTAATCGATTAAACCTTGAGTCAACTTTTTTTGCGTATTTTGATCATTTAACCGATTAAATATTTAAGTTAATCGATTAAAGAGGAACATGTTGGTTGATAGTTTTGGGGTAAGGAACAAAATATTTATTAATTAATTAATAAAGAGCAAAATAATCAAAAAACAAAATCATTTATATATGCACATGTGGCAGAAACTATTTTTCTGCCACATATACAAAACAATAGTGGATTTTAGATAATTTTTTGTAATATGAATAGTGATATATAGTTAAATTCCCTCAACTTTGAAGTCCTTGAAGTATGAATATGTAACCATCAGAGCCAATCAGGATAAACTTTCGATTATGTCCTCCCATTAATTTGGGTCACCCATCGGTCCCACTTAGCAAGGATATCTATATATATATATATATATATATATATATATATATATATATATATATATATATAAAAGATCTTTTAAGATTAGTGTCAAATTTAAAGTTTGACACCTCATCTGAGAGTCGTTAAATCAAAAAAGATTAACGATGTTACATGCTTACAAATCAGAGTTGTTGATTTTTTTTTTATCTAAAAGCTCTCATATAAGGTGTCAAATTTTAAATTTGACACCAATCTTAAAGAATCCTATCCCAATATATATATATATATATATATATATATATATATCTCTTAACGTTGGATTTTTCTCTAATTTATTTATGGAAAAAGTGTTTGTCCACAGAACTTATATCATTTCACTCTCACAAAAATGTAGATTCTATATCTTTTTTTTTGTCCACTCTCTCTATTTTTTTTGTATCTTTTTCAAAGTGTTTGTCCACAGAACTTATATCATTTCACTCTCACAAAAATGTAGATTCTATATCTTTTTTTTTGTCCACTCTCTCTATTTTTTTTTTGTATCTTTTTCTCTTAGTTAAAATGACACAATTTTTCCTTTATTTATTCGGCCATATATATTTATTCCAACGTACGTGTAGACCCATGCAAATGCTCTTACATAGCATTTCATTGGTTCTATTTATGGATGTTGGCAACCGTTGTTGGGTTCACCATTCGGAAATGAGAATAATTATTTTCATTTTTTCTTTCTTGTAATGATCCGTATTTTATTTATTGTCTTGTTTTCCCCTGATTTCTTTCGATGAGAAAATTTTAACTTCTAGATTTCGTAACAATATACGTATAATCTGAAAAAGAAACCTTTAAACTTTTTAATAAAAGAAAGAATTATTTCTCGTGTAATTAAAGTTAAAGTTATCTCTTGTTCAATCGGAGGAGTGGTGCGCACTGGAGAGAGTTAAAGTTATCTCTAATAATCCCGGACATCATTTTGAAATTTATGAAAAGATATACAGAATATTTTAATAATTTTATTTTTCTTTTGTATAATATTTTTTAAAATATCCTATATTTTTTTTCTAAATCCCAAAATAACTTATTTTGAGGTTGTTATCTCCTATTGCGTAAGAAACGTTAATCCCAATAATAAAAGTTATCTATATTATCGATTTCCATTGGTATCCTTTATATATATATATATATATATATGGAAAAATATTTCTCCGGCAACTTGAGATAAGTTTATCTCTAGCCATCTCAAAACTACGTCGTTTTGTTTATTTATTTCCTTATATTAATTGATTCACCTTTGAATAGTTATAAT